GTGCTCGTGCTGTACTATTTTGCTTGTTTTATTGCCATAAAAAACAGTGAATATAATCGTAATAGAATTAATATGGGATTAACAAAGGTGTAAACCCTAACAATTGAAAACATTGTCAAATTCTTTTAGAGTTGGCGTGCAAAGATCCGTAACATACGAATTGAATTAGAAACTTTCTTCTTTTAAAGTGGTTTAAAATATGTATTTTTTCTATCTGTCGATTTTTTACTACTTCGCCTTTGTAGCATCATCATACCGAGATATTTCTAGTAATAGAGGTCTTCTTAGTATTTATGTAGTTTGAGTTTTATATATGTATTAGGTATGTGAATTTCTGCAATATGACCATAAAAATACTTATGGTTATATTTTGCATTTATACATATGGGAAAAAGAATATTCATATTACGCGTAGTATATGATCATCATTTATCTAATAGATATAGTTATATTAGTTACTTATGTATGTATACCTATACATGTAGGTAAACCTTAGAAACAAATTGGAGCGAATCAAGTTACAAGTTGAGCGGAATCACGGATTACCTAATGTTTCTGTCTCCCCAGGAAGTGTAGATCACCATCCTGTTTGTTCAGGGCTCACGGGACGTGTGGCTGACATGTGTACTTGTGTAAATATACAGTATATATAGTATACGTATAGCAATAGGTAAAACTAGTAGATCTTTGTGGCTTTTGTTCTGTGTCTACAATATTACAAAGAAGGAAAAATTTGATTTTCATATGTTTATTTATAATAGATAAACTCAAATACTAATAAACCAATTATAAAAATTCCCTCACCTAATAACTAACTAAGCTACCTTATCAGCGATTAAAATAGGTTATAGTAATACTTTCTAGCTACTCGTAACAAGCTGAGGCGGATTAGTTGTTTATTTATAATTTAAAACAATTGCACGTGACCATAGAAAAATAATGTTAAAAAATATAGCCATCATATTTTATACATTGTATATGTAGTTTGTAGCACACCTACAGTAACGATGTCTCATTTATTAAAACTTATCCTGTTATTAAGGTTAAATGATGTCTAAATAATCGTATATATTATTTATATACATACATATAATATAGGTATATTTTTATGAATGTACTCGTATCGTCCGTGCGTGGCGTAGCTTTAAAACGGAATAAATCAATTTTTATACTCTTGTGATATTTAGTTGCGATTTATTACTCTTATTTGATTTTTGTTGTAGTTAAGTGCTAGGATAATTTTGTTGTCGAATTTCGTAGAAATTACTTCCAATAACGTTATATTCCAGTCATTAATTATGATAAAGGAAAAACAATTATTTGCGAGTATCTCGAAACTAAAATAATAAAATTGTTATTTAGTTTTCCACCTACGTTGAAGTTATTCGCATAATGTAAGAATGTTTTTTTTATACCACTGAGGTGGCAATCAAGCATACGGCCCACCTGATGGTAAATGGTTATCGTAGCCTATGAATACCTGCAATACCAGAGGTATTACGCGTGCGTTGCCGACCCTGAAGAATCCTCTTTACCCCCCCTTTGAAGAACCCCATGCTGTAGTCTCTTGGGAAAACCTTGGAATGTGCTCCTTAGCACATTCCACAACCTGAGTGTTCGTGGGAGGAAACATCTCTGTAATGTATAATTTATGTATATATATGGATAAATATACATAAATTAATAAGTAAAACATTAATCAAATATTAAATAATAAAAATAATAAAAACAAAAAATACATTTTAAGTAATAACTAACACTATAATTCCTAATTTACATAACAACCAAACTTGGAGTGGATGCTTTACTAACTAATTATTTATCATCTAGTTAGTTATTTGTTTGGTACTACCCTAAAATAGATTAAATTAGATTAGAAGCATTGTTAAGTCATAGACTCAAAAGGTTAACTACTAATTAATACTAATTATTTTTTATGTATTGGACAAAATTCCAGACCTAGAGTCCAGATTGACATTTACGTATTTACATTGATTATTTGACGCCAATAAGCATCAGAGTATTTGGAAAAGAGAATTATCTGTGCAATTCGTTTGTTGGTACAGGATACTTACTTGAAAATTTTTCACCGTCATTGGTTATTGTATATCTGAGTTATATGGGCAATCCATATAAGATACGATCGTAGTTATATATTTATTATCAATAAAAAATTTAGATGAGTGAGGTTGAAATATTCAAAATTAATTTACTTACTTATTTTTACTCTTGGCTTCGGTCAGGTAACCGAGATAAGTCGATTAATAGAGATATAAGGGAGTTCATATCTTTCTCCGTACCAAGTGTTATGTATATAGCACATTTTATGACGTTTGATTAAGTCCTTAGGGTACTAAGATAAACCAACAAACTAACAATTAACTTATATATTTATAATATTAAGGAGGATCGGTGTGTTCTTACTGAGTTATTACTTGTGCCGTATCCTAATGAAAGTCCGAAAGAAACAATATTACGAAATTATTCTTGAAACACCTGAAAATAAGTCTATCAGATTTTAAGACATCAAAGAGGAAAACTTTCACAGGATAAATGAATATAATATTTTGAGCAAAAGTGTATTACCTGTAAAAATAATTTATACAATCTTTTAATGAAATGAGTTACGGAAACCGCGTGAGGGATGAGATGAAAAAAAGTATGAAAAAGTGAACTGAGCACCGTGAGGTTTATGCAAATTTAACGCCAAAATTTTTTAACTTGCCAACTCTGTTCTTATTTGCAAACAAGCCTGCTGTCTTGAAGTATTATATGTGCTTCTTGGAAATGTTGAATGTAAACAGAAAATTGAGCTTCTAAATTTGAACAAACGGTATTATTGTATCTAGTCGCAGTGAAATACTCCCTGTTTGCTGTCACGCCATAAACAAGGTTAAAATATATGAAGACATTTTAATTACACCTATAATGTGTTCGTATAATATGGGAGGGTAGAGTAGTTATACAACCGTGTCTGTGTAGAGGGGACATAGTAGGTAGTTTAGTTACATTTTGAATGATCGCCGAAGGAACCGACACGTGCTGGAGCGGATGGAGCTAACTTATTTGCTATATCTCTTTGTTTATTACCTCTATCTTTAAATATTTTTTTTTTCAGTAAACTAAAGTATATAAATAGAATGTATATTTTATATTTAATTCTGTCAAAAAATTTTTAGACAGTTATTAATAACTCAATAGCTAAGGAATGGGTAGCAGCGTCACTCTTAAAACATCACCAAAAGCCTATATAACTGCGATTACTAACTCATTGCAACTACTGGGGGAAACCCCCGCAATGGTAAATACTAGAAAGAATTAGTTCCCAAATTCCCAGTGTCAATGAATGCAGGTAGATCGGGACTGTTCCTTGTGTTTCATGAGGAAGGCCTATGTTCAGGAGTGGATGAGTAAGAATTACGTTAAAAAATATTTATTTATAATATAATAAACTGAAGTTACAAATAAATTGAATTGAGCCAGAGATCAATTACATTTAATTTTTGTCATTTTTATATTGATATTTTTATTGTATTATATAAAAAAAGTCAAAAAAAGAAGGAACGAAATTACGAGCACATCCATGTAACAATTTATATAATTTACACTATTTCTGTATGAACTGTCAATCTAACTTAATCTAAGACGTGGCACCTCAACGCCAACAAGTTATCAATTATGTTACCGTTCAGCTGTATAAAGTGCAATTGATTATTGTTTGATTGATTCAATAATTTAAATATATATATTCTTAGAAACTTCCTATTTACAGAATTTGTATTTACATAGAGAGAAATATATACTGGAATAATAGGCAAGCCATTTTGTTTAAAACATTAACCGATGGGAAAAAAGGCCTTGAGTGACAACCCCGACAGAACAGTGGAAAACGACCACTAGATGGAACGACGATCTAATATATATTAAAGGGAGTCACTGGTGTAGGCCGATCAGGAGTTTAAGACCATTCTTTATTGTTGTCTCTATTAGATTGTGTTCAATAATAGATTATTAACTAAAGAGACGAGGTTGATTTAGAAATAATGTTTCATTATCTATATCTTCTCAGTTGAGAAAAGACTTGTCATCAAAGGAAACAACGTAGCTAACAACTTAACTCTGCTTAACGATAGTGCCTCCGTAAGTGTACTCTCATTTGTTGCTAGCAAGTGTGCATGCACTAGAGTTAAGTGCAGTCAGTGTTCTTGCGCAGATAGTGTAACTGGTGTAACACCGTAGTAGATACTGTTTCGTATTGTGGTAACACGCAATCTTTATACGAATAATCAGCAGTAACGGTATGTACTTTCTATAACATTTTGAAATAAATCATTACAAGATTTTTTTTATATTTTACACATTATGGTTCCATGTTGTTAGCTGCGTAGAGTGATTGCCAATCCACTCACATAATTTTAATGTAATAAACCGCATGATTGCTTTTGTAAAGCCGAAAGCGTTATTATTCAGTTTCGCATGCATTGTGTTCAACTTCGAAGGTAATTTCGTGTTTCATATTAAACTTCATATTAAAATCGTTATTGAAGTTTATTTTCATTAAATAATTGTATTTAATCAACTTCAAAAAGCTGATCGATTGAATTATTTCCGAATTTGTTATGAGGCATCTAATTTTTCGTTTAGGTATTCGTGTTTTTTTTTTTTATACCACAAAGATGGTAAGCCTATTTGATGGTAAACAGTCACCGTAGCCTATGAACGCTTCAATATCAGAGGTGTCTCGTGCGCGTTGCCGACCCTGAAGAAATCTTAATATACCCTTTTTAAAGAATCCTTCATATTGATTTTATAACAATTTTATCCTAATTGAAAGCGATAGGTTTTTAAACAACTGCCTATGTTTTTATGTGTAAATTCTGAAACAATTTTTATAATAATGTTTATAATTCTATTGATTGGTTTAGGTAATAAATAATTTAATTTTGTTAAAAGAAAAGATATGAAAATTCTAGACTACAATTACTAAAAAATCAACATACCGTGTTTGCCGATGTTGGCTGCCGCGAGGGCGGTGCTAAGTATTAAGAGGGGCACGAGCATGCTCCCTCCTCGCACTCCGGACGCACATCGAGCCGAAATAGCACCGAACTCAGATAACACTGGAACAAAACAGAATAATAGGTAAGACTCTCAATACATAATAATAGATTGCCTTGGTATGTTCACGTCATACGTAAGAAGAAAAGTCATGTTTTGAAGAAGGTATAACATGTAAAAGTGGATGGATGTAGAGGTAGAAGACGACCAAAGGAAACTTGGATAGGCTGTATGAAAGATGAATGAATGAATGAAAACTCTTTATTGTTCCCATCAAAGACTGATACAGATTATAAAGATTAACGATGTGTACAGTAAAAAAAATAATACTTAATTACATAAACTTAATTACATAAAAGCAAGGTAAAGAAGCAACAATAGGTGGCCTTATCGCTAAATAAATATCTTTTCCAAGCAACCTTAGAATGCAGAGAAATCATTAAAATTATGTCAAGATAAATGTGTATAGAGATGTAAAAAATATAAAGATGTAAAAAATGCATAAAAGAGGAGTGAATCCAGTTATGATGGTTGATGGGGATTTGTTGAAGAAGATACAATGCACCAATGCCAAATAAATGGAAAAAGACAAGGCAAATGACTCTCAATATATAATAATTATATTATGTAATTAAGAATGAATAAAACAATAAAGAATGGTATGATAATAAATAATTAATATAAGATAATGTAATATCTGCTCTACAAAAAGTAGATACTTTGATGAACATGTGCTTCATAGATTCATTAGATTTAAAATATTTTAATTTAGAAAGTAGATTTTGCTTAGCAATAAACGGTTATTTGCTTTAAAAACGTAAAATGATAACTAACCTAAATAAACAATAAAGTTAATAGGGGGCAATCTCGGAAGTAAACCCTATTAATTATAATTAGTGTGATGAAAATCGGATTTGATTTGGATAATACAATGAATATCTGTGTCATATTCACAAATATTATAATAGATGTATTAAAAATCTTCTTCATTTAAAAATAAAAGTAAGAGTAAATCTGTTATTACATAGTAATTTTTTAAAAGCCACTGCAGGGAAATTTTAATAGTGTATTGTAATAGATATTTACTATGACTTCATTTGATGAGTCGGACTATTGTTGCGATAGTATGAAGAAGAATGCTGGGCTTCAAAGATGATTATCGATGGAGCGTGGTATTAAAAAAAAATTAGTATTGTTATTTATTACAACTTCAGTTATTTGTTGTATTTATTAGTTTTTAATTTCACTTAAATAATTTATTTCATTCTTAGTAAATGTGTTTTATCATATTATAACTAACAATATTCCTATTAAAAAATTTTTTTTTTCATTTTCGGGGCAAGAGTTACATTATATTAAGTCGCTGTATGACGTTTTACTAATATGCATCTTATGTATTAAAGCATAGTAACTATTTTATGATCTATATAATATGTGTCGTAAGCAATTATACTCATTATGTAAATGGAGTTAATTATCAAAGTTAATTAAAAATAACAAAACAAAACTTCAAGAAGAATTTATTTCAAAACAACGTTAAAGAGATTACTTTAATTAAAATCAAAATTAAATTGAAAACGTAGAAGGATAAGAGGATTTAGTCGATTAATGCCCTTGACGACCTCCCTATTTTTTATATGCATTTAATATTGAAAATTGGAAATTATTGATATTTAATTATTTTAATATTGTTTCCAGAAAATATTTCAGGTACAGCAAACATTTTTAATTAATTAGAATATATTTTTTATTACAGCATAGAGTTAAATCATTTAATTATGAATTTGTTATATATATCTAAATACTAGGTACGTAATTAAGATGGTTTCCAGGCAGATCACGTGGTTATCAACCAAACAACTTGGATTTACTGCTTAAAGTATCAATGTCCATTATTACCAATTTCGTCTGACCAGCCGTTGATATTTAGTAAGTTTATTCTTTTGTTGCAGAATTTAAAATAATGAGAAATTTAAATAAAGATTTGAACTAGTAGTTAAAATTAATGAGAGTAGTCTTTAATTCTATTTACATTATAAATGTTAAAGTTTGTAACGATGGATGAATGTTTGTTACTTTTTCACGTAAAAGTCATTGAACACGTTTAAATGAAATTTGGTACGTGGGTAGGTTATATCCTAATTTAGTATATAGGTCACTTTATGTACTGATTCACGTAGAAGTAGCGAGACATATCTAGTATTTACTAAAATAGGGCTGCTTCGTAAAACAAGCAGAACTAATATTAACGTAGGTATCCAGAAACTTTACCTTTCAAATTTACTTTATCAGTTTATAAATAAAACTCGCTGTTTACATTTATTAAGGGTTAAATTGCCTCTTCAAGCGGGTGACGTCAACAAACTTAGAATTTAGGTAGGTTTAAAATAAAAGCGTAAAGTTAACATTAATGTTGTTATAGGAATAACAACTGATCATCTTTGTTACAACAAAGTCTGAATTAATAGTTCATAGGTACTTAATATTTATAAAGGATCTGAATTCTTTGAATAGAACATGGACCAGTAACTATTGAAAAATATCTATTTATTACTACGAATGAAAATAAAACTACTTGTATAATTTATAGAATATGCTAGTTTTATATAATGCTTCTTCATCATCTTAGACTAAAATAAATGCAGTATGATTTAGATACTCATGTATGTTATTCAGTCTCGCTATTATAAATATATGAGTTTATAAAAAAAAAAACGGTAAGATTATATTAATATTAAGTTTAATTAAGATTTTAATTTAATATACAGTACTTAATTTATTATGATTATTAATTTTTGTGTAGGTTGTGTCTAAAAATATAACAGACCTTAATTGTGATAAAATGTCTTAGTGATCTGAATATATAAATTTATTATGAACATGTTCCGTTCTGGTTTTTTTTTTTTACAACACAGGGGGCAAACGAGCATGCGGCTCACCTGATGGTAAGTGACTACCGCCGCCCATAATCACCCACAACACCTACGGCATTGCAGGTGTGCTGCCGGCCTTTTAAAAAGGAATATGCTCTTTTCTTGAAGGTTATGTTGTCGTATCGGTTCGGAAATACTGCTGCTGGAAGTTGATTCCAAAGAGTGGTTGTGCGTGGGAGAAAGTGCCTTGAAAAACGCACGGTGGAGGACCGCCACTCGTCCAGATGGTTGGGATGAAATTTTAGTTTATGGCGGTATTTTACATCTTTAGAATTAGACGTCATGTTGATTGTGATATACGCATAGTTAACATTATATAACGGACACACTTATTTGTACATTGTCTAAAATATTATATATAATGATTTTGTACGTTTACATGGGATATATATTAATACAACAATAGATGTTAATTATAAAATTACAGAGCAGAAACTGAAATTTGTCTATATATATAGGTTCATTGGTAAGTTTTTGCTATGATTCTATAAAGACATTTGATATATAAACCTTATATACATATATAAATAACGTCATATTCAAATATTCAGAAGTACAGGTAATAGGCGTTATTGCATAAAACAAGGCTTAGTATAAATATAGAAGAAACCAACTCAACATTGATGTTGTCAAATTTCGTCCTTAAATGGATATAATTTAAATAACAGCAAAAAAAGTCTTTCCAAATAAACTTCTAAATAATCCATTAATATCAATTGCTTGAAAGCTGTTTCATAATTTATTTAAAATATACAGCTCTTAATAAATTTTCGCAACTCCATTTGAGAAATCGTAAAACAGTGGCCGAGTACGACGCGAAACAAGTACCTATTAGAGTTTTCGTTGTGAAATAAAACATAATTCCGTTGAGGAACAGGGAGCGGTTTGAATAACAACTCTTTAATTGAAAGTTTAGCAATTTGCTCGTACCCCCTGAATGGACCCGAAGGCGCGGGGCAACTCTCATCCAGCGCGTTCAAAATTGAACGTAGGCAGATGCGCTTAATTACCGGGCCAGATGCCGGGCGGGTGCCGTCTCTCCGCCCGCCACCGCCACCGCCACCGTCGTGCCGCTTATCTCAAGACGAACCTCCACCTCGCAACGATATTCGCCCGCGAAGATCTCCGACGGCTTTTTTTAATTCTCAATTCGCTTATACCACAGCAATTATGAAAATAATCGTGGATTAAGTAATTAAGAATCCACTCAAATTGTATTTTCAATGGTTTGGTTACCCCTAATATCGTTAGTGCTTATAATAGGTACAATTTCAAAACTTGCAAATTTTCTTAATGATATGATGAGACATAGTCATCAACTTTGTTAATTAGATTTCTTGTAATATTGTAAAATATTAATATATATATATATATATATATATATATATATATATATATATATATATATATATATATATATATATATATATATATATATATATATATATATATATAACTGTCCCCTTGATTGTCATCTACTGGCTCAGTAAAAGTACCATAGTTGCTTCCTAAAATTTTAATTTTACTATACTTATCTCAGAGTCATGACTGTACAAAAAGGAATGTATTATTTTAAGATTTATGTATACATATACATTTGAGCATTTTAAACTCTTTTAAATGGTTAAATGATTCGTCGAATTAGATATTATAAAATATTCGTATATTTGCATTGACAAATATAATGATGCTACCTAGTTTTAATTTTTGTTTCCAAAACAAACAATAATTATAATACAAGTAATGTTTGTCGATTTTCGCAATCGAAATAATTATAAAAAAAAAAATAGTTTATACTTTACGAAGGTATCTTATATAAATACAAACTTCAATAAAATATCTACTTAATATATTATAGTTAGCTTATTTGACTGTAAGATATACAAAATTGTTCAATATATAAATAAGAATGGTAGAAGTTTTCCAATAATGCGTTATTAAGTGCGCTACACTCCGAGATATGAGTCGTAGTCAAATAGAGAGATATCCATGTACCTATGAAGACGTCGTTACTGAGGGATGGAGGCGGACGTTCCCTACGTGTGGTGTCGCACGAGTGAATCAAACTTCCCTTTACATTTTATCTTACTGCAAGGGCGGTCGAGTTTATGTTCCTCGCCCTACTTGAT